TGAGCCCTGAGACTCACACGGGCTTTTCTGTACTCCCAGACAGAGGGCACATACCTTGGCATGTGAAAGCTTCATGCTGGAACCCCTCCCAGTCCTTCCTTTAGGCATCTGTTCACTGTGTGCTCTTTTGTTCTACTAATGCTGTTATTGCAGGCATGGTATTTCCTGTGAGCCCTTACAGTACAGTACAGACAGAGGAGTATTGGGGGCTGTAGCGTTCAGTGGAAGAAGTCATGTGTACTTCCAAGCGTTTGACTCGTTCCCACTGACCTATCCCTGATTGTCTCAGAAACACGATAGAGAAGAACTGTGTGGTCAGTTGGGATCAGAATTGAAGAGGGAATGGAGTCGGTGTACGGGATGGGTTTTATTATCTAGCCCACAACTTTGTAATCTTAGTCTCCTGGGACCAAACTTTGTTGATCTTGAATTCACATTTACCCATCTCAGACAGATTCTCCCCATCTGCACCACTTTCATTCAAGCATGAAATCGTGCCCTTTTTTGTGATTTCTACAGGATTTTTGGTAGCAGATTTTACTAAAGGGTTGAGGATGTTGGAAGGTATTTACATCTCAATATAAAAATAAGGATTAAGTGTCCTGGTTTTGTTTCTCCAGAGGACCCTGTCTAACACATTGACCGGTCCTCATTCTTCTGTTCTCAGCCTTCTGGTGTTGCGATGATCTTCCTTCTAGACAGAAAAATAAAACCTGAACCTTCTAAAAAAAAAAAAAAATCAGGATTATAGACTTCCCCTCCAATCTCCTGCCAGGTTACTTGAACTACGTTCTCAAATTTAGTTTCTCTCCTACTGAGTGGCCTCGTCTCCTCTAAAATCCTGTCCAATGCCCCCTGGAATTGTTTAGCTGTCTCTTTATTGCCTTGGCAGCACCTGACCCTGTCCTTGGTGACGCGCCTCCTCTGTCCCACACCTCTTGGTACTAGATGTTTTCTTACGTAGGTGATGTTGTTCTGAGTCTTCTCAGAATGTGTTTTATGAGCGCGCGTCTTCTTACCTTGCTATACCCTGGATCACGTTCTCCTCACCTTCCTTTTTAAAGAAATCCTGTTTTTGCCTCGCTCCTGCCCAATTCTTTCTCCCCCTTCACTGCCTGCTCCCTCCCAAACACACCACGTAGCACTTAGTCTCAAGCGTTTGCCCTCCAAAAGCCACCTGAGGGTCTCCCGTAGAAGAAAGTGGTGGAGTTCTGTCTTGTGACATGTGTGTCTGTGAGCGCGTGGTGATGACCCGAGACTTAGTGTGTTTTAAACTGGATGGGGCTAGGGAACTTTCCCCCCAAAGCTTGTCGCTTACACGGCATTAGCAGCCTGGACCCTGCAGTTAGCATTCTGAAATGTGACTTGTAGGCTTTGCCAACTCTTTACATTACTAGGTCAAGGTCAAAAGAAATGAGATATAGGTTTAATTAGGCAAATCCCTCAAAAATAGAAAGAAAAAAAAGAGGTAAAACATAGATATGACTCTTGTTCGAAAGCCTGTCTACCTTTTTTTTCCCCCTGTCTTCTCTCTTTTTGGGATTAGACCTTTGAGAAGAGTGAGCTTCCCATTGCATCCCAAAAGTGCAGTTCTCAGAACTACTGTTTCTATGGAGCACGTAGGGCAATGTATTTCTTGTATTTTTCTGTAACTGTTTTGCTGTTTCGATCTTTGTTCTGTTTACTGTTGGGCTCCGTCCCACTCACTCGCCTTTTGCCCTCTTCTCTTTCATAATCCTGGACCCAGCACCTGCCTGCACAGTCGTGTGGAATTCTCCTCTCAGCTGCCTCTCTGCGGGAGTCTTTCTTGCGCTTCCTCAGCAGTGTGAACTATTGTTCTTAGTGACTAAGTCCCAATATTGTTCCTTCTCAACTGGCGTTTCTGATTCGTCAACAGCTTTGGGAGAAGAGCATTGTGTTTACCCTTCTAGCATTTCAGGGGCCATATTTCAAAAGTTCTACTTTCACTAAGTCTAAAAGAGAAATGCTGAGGCTGAGGGGAACCTCGGGAGTTTATCTACGTAGTGTCCTTATAGGCTGGGCTGTTGTGCAGATAGACAGCCTCGCAGAAGCTTGGTAAGATAAAGAGGCCCTGTGGAGCAGGGGATGACACTACTAGGCAGAAAATCAGAAAACCCGTTTGAATACTTGCCCTCCCATTCCACTTCCTCGCTCTGCGAACCATGGGCAAGCTGTTTCAGGTCCCCGAACCACAGGTTGTTGCTTCTGTTGTAGAATGAGGAGACTACTGTCTGTCTCCACAGAGGGGCAGATGCTGGCCTGTAAGGGTTCTTTGTGCAAAATATAAATACGTCCCCTATTGTGTGGATACCACCGCAAGGGCACAGCTAGATTTCAGCCTTCGCTTATCCATCCGCCGGCATCCTGATGCAATTCCATAACCTTATTTCTGTATAGCAGCTAAGGCACAGAGGCCCACGTCTTCCACTATCAGAGTAAGGAGAGGCAGCGCAGGAGAACAGTCAAGGAGCCCACCTGCTTTCTTGGGAGGAATCTAGCACCGTAAGAAAATGCCTGCCTTTGTTATCTTACACAGGATCTTGGTTCTTGCCAGTTTGTCTGCACTTCCATCACACCATTAGCAACGTCACATCAGGATTGCGGCTTCAAGGGGTCACCCCTGGAGGATGTGCTGGGGAAGCGCCCCTTTCCCGCGTGGGCTCCCTGCTTCCACCTTCCATGTCACAGGCTGTTCGAGGCTTGGCTGAGATGAAGTCGGAGAGACCACCTGGAACGGGAGCCCAGGCGCTGGCTCTCTTCCTTGTTTTTCTCTCGTGTGCCCAGCGTACTCTGACGTTTGTCTGGGCTGCCTCCTGCGAGTCTGCAGTCCGCTGGTTTCCACAGTGGGGTGCTTGGTGCGCCAAGATATAGGAAAGGTGCTCCCTTGAAGAGAGGGGTGGAGAAGAAAAATTTATTTAAAACGTTAAAAACAAAAAGAAATTACACTTTACTGACCTCTGGCCTATGGATTGGCATGTCATTTATGGGTACCAGAAACCAAAAACCCATTCCCACGGAGTCAATTCCAACTCCTAGCCACTCTATACGGCCCTCGTGGGTTTCTGAGACGTCTGATTGTTCATGGAAATAGAAAACCTCATCGTTCTGCCATAAAGCAACTGGTGGTTTTGAACTGCTGACCTTGCTGTTCGCAGCCCAACTCGTAACCATGTCAGTTGTCATCAAGTCAGTTCTGGCGCGTGGTCGCCCCTGGTGTGTCAGCGTGGGACTGTGCTCATGGCGGATGTGTAGGACATGAGGACACCCCTCCAACCTACTACTAGCACCCAGGCACACGCCTCATTTGCACTACTCAGAAATGCCGCAATCATAGATCGCTGCCCTCACTGGCCTGTAAGTGGGGAGGCAGGCTTGGGGTTTTATGTTAGGGCTAAGTGAGGAAACTGGTCGGACGCTCAGACTGCGGAGGCATGTGCTATCCTTGTCTACCTTCGGATTTAAGTGGAAAGCGCGTCCTCCCGCTTTGTCTTTGAGGACAGGGCTTTATCAAGCTCAGCGTAAAGCTTCCTTTCAAAATGAGTTCCTTTGGCTTCATCCCAGAAATACAGTACTATAAAATAAGAATGCAGGGTCTGGGCTGGATGACGCGAGGCAAGTCCCTTAGCCTTTTGGCGGCGTTTATTCTTCTCCTCTGTGAAACAGGAAGCATCCAAGTACCCGCTTCAAAGGACTCATGTAACCAGTATGAGGTCAGCCAGACATTAAGCACAATGAAGTTTGCTACTGCCATTGCTTGAATCCCCCGCCTCATAGACATCCCGAGGTGTGTGTCCTCTGCATCCAGATGCGAGCTGGAACTAGAAGGCCCCGGTCCAGCCCTGGAAGAGTTTCTTCACTCTATAGCCGTTTGCTGCGGACACTGACAGACCAGAGCGCTGCCAAGTGTGGGATGTCCCAGTGCATGGTCAACCATGTGCTCTGTTTGATGGCCCGTCTTCCTTGTCAGCAGCTGGGGTCACCTTCCCACATCACAGCAGTCCACGTGCTGCTGAACTCCCGTTTCTGTTTTTACACAGGGGTGCGTATGTCTTTGCTGTGAAGAATCAGTACATCCTGTGAATTTCTAGCCATTTAACATTTTAAGGTACAATGAGATCTATCCTTTATGTTATCAATGCCACACGTCGTTGCTGACAACCTCTTGCTCTGCATTATTTGAATATTTTAAAAATAGTTGTTCTTTCATGGATTTCTTTCTGTGGATGATGCGTCTGGGTTGGCTCCTAATGTATTCTCCCATCCTTCCACTTCTTCAAAAAGGAGGTGTTCTCTCTCCCAAATCCATCTTCCTGGACTATTAGACATTCTCCGTGCTTAATAATTCTTTTCAAGAAATTAAAAAACATAAGGTTTCTCCATGTAAGATATTTTGTGAAAAGATAGCAAGTCAGACTTAATTATTTTATTATTGGACACGTCTGTATTCCCTTTCTTTGAAGAAGTGGCTTTATAAAAGCTCAATAAAATTCCTATTATATCAAAGACATTCACAGGATAGAGGCAGACAAATAAAAAAGGATTTTAAAGATGGGAATTTCTAGATTTCCTCCTTCTAATCCTTTTATACCCTCATACATAAACTAATGACAAGCGTCTTAGAGGCCAATTGAAAAATTAGTCGAAGAGTACATATATCCTACCTAGTCCAATGAGCAATTTTCCCAGCCTCTAGAGAGATAACGTTTTTTAATTATAGGAATGTTCCCTATTTTGCTGTGGCTTATTCTATATCCTAATACAAACCCGCTGTCTTTTGTGTCATGAACAAGGTTAGATATTTCATTTTTGTCAATATAACGAATGGACTTGGAATAAAATCTTAGTGCTGGAACTGAAAGTTGTATATTCTCCAGGCCAAAGAAATGGACATTTATTGGACGCAATTGCTGCTTTCTGAGCACTAATGACGTTATATTAGCCCTTTGAGTAATATCCTTTGAAATGTTTCTGTGTTTCAGGTCATGCAGGACAAGATCATCTGCCTTCCGAAAAGAGTGCAACCTTCCCAGAACCATTCTTCTGTTTCGAATGTCTCTCAGGCCGTTGCCAGCACCACCCCACTGCCTCCCCCTAAACCATCGGCCACAAACCCCGCCACTGTGGAAATGAAAGGGCTGAAGACAGATTTGGACCTTCAGCAGTACAGTTTTATAAACCAGATGTGTTATGAGCGGGCCCTGCATTGGTATGCCAAATACTTCCCTTATCTCGTCCTCATCCATACCCTGGTCTTCATGCTCTGCAGCAACTTTTGGTTCAAATTCCCTGGGTCCAGCTCCAAAATAGAACATTTCATCTCCATCCTGGGGAAGTGTTTCGACTCTCCCTGGACCACGCGGGCTTTGTCAGAAGTGTCTGGGGAAGAGTCCGAAGAAAAGGACCACAGGAAGAATAACATGAGCCGGGCGAACACCATCCAGTCTGCTCCAGAAGGCGGCTTGGTCAACTCCCAGTCTTTAAAGTCAATCCCGGAGAAATTTGTGGTGGACAAATCCACTGCCGGGGCCCTGGACAAAAAAGAAGGGGAGCAAGCCAAGGCCTTATTCGAGAAGGTGAAGAAGTTCAGGCTGCATGTGGAAGAAGGGGACATCCTGTATGCCATGTATGTTCGCCAGACTGTCCTTAAGGTCATCAAATTCTTGATCATCATCGCATATAATAGCGCCCTGGTTTCCAAAGTCCAGTTTACAGTGGACTGTAATGTCGACATCCAGGACATGACCGGGTACAAAAACTTCTCTTGCAATCATACCATGGCACACTTGTTCTCAAAACTCTCCTTTTGCTACTTGTGCTTTGTAAGTATCTATGGACTGACGTGCCTTTATACCTTATACTGGCTCTTCTACCGTTCTCTACGGGAATATTCTTTTGAGTACGTCCGACAGGAGACTGGAATCGATGATATTCCAGATGTGAAAAATGACTTTGCTTTCATGCTTCACATGATAGATCAGTATGACCCTCTCTATTCCAAGAGATTTGCAGTGTTCCTCTCGGAAGTCAGCGAGAACAAATTAAAGCAGTTGAACTTAAATAACGAGTGGACTGCCGACAAGCTGAGGCAGAAGCTGCAGACAAATGCCCACAACCGCCTGGAACTGCCTCTTATCATGCTCTCTGGTCTTCCAGACACCGTTTTTGAAATCACAGAGTTACAGTCTCTCAAACTGGAAATCATTAAGAATGTCATGATTCCAGCCACGATTGCGCAACTCGACAACCTGCAAGAGCTCTCCCTCCACCAGTGCTCCGTCAAAATCCACAGCGCAGCGCTGTCTTTCCTGAAGGAGAACCTCAAGGTCCTGAGCGTCAAGTTTGATGACATGCGGGAGCTGCCCCCCTGGATGTACGCACTCCGGAGTCTGGAAGAGCTCTACCTGGTTGGTTCTCTAAGTCACGACATTTCCAAAAATATCACCCTGGAGTCCCTGCGGGATCTCAAAAGCCTTAAAATTCTCTCCATCAAGAGCAACGTGTCCAAAATCCCTCAGGCAGTGGTGGACGTTTCCAGCCACCTCCAGAAAATGTGCATTCATAACGACGGCACCAAGCTGGTGATGCTCAACAACCTGAAGAAGATGGTCAACCTGACCGAGCTCGAGCTGGTCCGCTGCGACCTGGAGCGGATCCCCCACGCCGTGTTCAGCCTGCTCAGCCTCCAGGAACTGGACCTGAAGGAGAACAACCTGAAGTCCATCGAAGAAATTGTCAGCTTCCAGCACTTGCGAAAACTGACGGTGCTCAAGCTGTGGCACAACAGCATCGCCTATATCCCGGAGCACATCAAGAAGCTCACCTGCCTCGAGCGGCTGTCTTTCTGCCACAACAAAATCGAGGTGCTGCCTTCCCACCTCTTCTTGTGCAACAAAATCCGCTACTTGGACTTAGCCTACAACGACATTCGCTTCATTCCGCCCGAAATAGGGGTCCTACAAAGTTTACAGTATTTTTCCATCACCTGTAACAAAGTGGAGAGCCTCCCAGATGAACTCTACTTTTGCAAGAAACTGAAAACGCTAAAGATTGGGAAAAACAGCCTATCAGTGCTTTCTCCGAAAATTGGAAATTTACTATTTCTCTCCTACTTAGATGTTAAAGGCAATCACTTTGAGATCCTCCCTCCTGAGCTGGGTGACTGTCGGGCTCTGAAGCGAGCTGGCTTAGTCGTCGAAGACACCCTGTTTGAAACTCTGCCTTCTGATGTCCGGGAGCAAATGAAAACAGAATAACGTATTTTGGTTTAAAGTTTGACTGAAACACGCTACTACCAAATACAGTGTCGATGATTAGGTAGTCTTAATGCCGTTACTTTTTTTTTAAACACAAAACAAAATGTACACAAGATTGAGTGAGGAGTATGTATATTTTTAATAAAAATTTACTTGTATTTTTTTCAGTATTGATATTTTAAAGTTTTGCTTGTTCTGGAAACTATTATCTAGTGGTGTTGTGCTGTCAGAAATAGATGGTTCCGTCTAGGAGTTTGTTTCGTTTTGTTTTGTTGTTGCTTTAACTCATTGTTCTGAAAAGGAGGAAATTTTGCGTTGCATGCTTTGAGATATTTTTATAATCCAGGAAGATATTTTGCCAAGGTCATTGTTCACTTGTTTACACCTGTTCAGGGTCCGCTTTTGGTTTTCATTGTGTGTTCTGTACCAAGAATCTGTGCTAATTATTTCAATACCCAGCTGCCTTCTCCACTGGCCAAGTCCTTCGTGCTACACACACGCACACACCACACACACACACCATCTGTAGCATGTAAATTCACAGAAGTCCATTGTCACAGAATAGTTTCTCAAATCCTCCCCCTCTAACAGCACCCTAAAGTAGGTGATTCCATTCACCTGATGGTTACACTGAACCTAAGACAAGGAATTTGTTAGTGCATGAAGACAACAGCCTTCAGTGGTGGGCATGCTTGATCACCTACTATTTTAACTGTTTTTAAAATATCAGTTAAAAACTATACACAGACGCTTCCCTCCTCCCTTTCATCTCAATACTGCTATGTAGTGCTGGTGAAGAACCTTACAGAAATTAGATTCATTTTAATATTCTAGTCAATAATTACATTTCCAAATCATAGAACTAGATGCCTGGATTTGGGGTAATTTAATAATCTTCAATATCTTGACATGTGGGTGCATTCATTGGGGGAATAAGTTCACTACTAAAGCTTTGTTAACTAGCTGGGCATTCCACCGAGGCTCTCTCCCATCCCCTGGGCAGCGAGGTAGTGGTAACTACTCAAATTCCAACTGCTGCTCACGGTAACTGCCTGGTATATTAATCTATTTCGCTGAAGCCTGCCCACGCTGGGGTTTGCTAGTGATGCAAGCTTTGGAACTCTTTTGCTCTCTTTGGCTTAAAATAAGTATCTCATCCAATACGGTTCTGTTATTATTTTTATTTTAATGTGAATACATTACCAAGTGGTTGCCACTTAACAATAATTACTGCCTGGTGGTCAGCAGAGCTTTAATTCATCTTAATATTTAAAATCCACCATCATGTGGGTCTTAGGCAAATTCCTCACTGACCACTAAGCTGTGTTGAGCAAGAAAATGAAGTACACTATTTGTGACCACAACCCAAGGCCAATACTACTGATCATGGGGGCTTTGTTCTATGTATCAAATTCACATTGACCTTCTTCAGATCTCTTGTCTGATCTAGGAAGCTTTTGGGAAGTGATGGATGAAAGGAGGAAGAACATTTGGGGGTTTAAAAATGCTATTTTAAAAAATGTGGATCCTGTTTATGAACAGTGACGTGTATTTAGGGGTAGAACTGTCTGTTTCGAACAAACTGACTTAAAAATCTCGGCAGATTGTCCATGGCCAACCATGGCAAAAAGGCCCTCTTGAAAGATCAGCTGAGATAGCGGCTTATACACTGGGTGCATTCTTTCTCTAGATAAAATTTATAATTGTTTTTTTCTATATAACCCTTCAAAAGGGATCTATTCAGGTTTAACATTACATTTATGCTAAAGTCCTTAACGGGTATTAATGGACAATCTCGTGGATTCAGAAGGGAAGCTAAGTTATTAGTAGCTAACTTTTACCACTTGTAGCAATTTGCTCAAACTTCCAAAAGAATATGACTCATTTCTTAAGGATTTCCCTCCCCAATCTAAGTTTTAAAATACCACCCAGTAACTCAGTCAGCATTTTATGGCTTCGTGTGTTGACTGAAAAAGAAAATTCTTACATGTTTCTGTTCGATTTTATAAAAATGCTAAAGTCTCTAAATTAATTCTGAGTCTAAATTTTCTGGCTCTGACCCTTTTTAATTTTGTAGTATTCTGTTGACACTCACAAGTAGAACATTCAATTACTAGTTAGCCTTTAAACAGGAAACTCAGGTCAATGAACTGCTGACTTTTCTAGCATCCTTTAACTGATCCATGTAGAAGAGTATTTACGTCATCACTTTCCGTGTTTTACAAGTGCTCTTGCTGAAAAGGAGCAGCTAGCTCTGTTTCTCCAACCTCTATAGGCCTGAGGAGAAACTGCCTCTGTAAATACAAAAGCACTGCATGTATCCATCACTCCGATGGCTGTTTGCAGCCCCTGTGGGTACGCGTTTTGGTCAGTTTAAATGATTACAAGGAGAACAAGCCCTTGTCTCAGCCGGTCTGGTGGAAACCATATAGAAGAACACAAATACCAATGAAACCCACTGGAAGTTCACACCTCTGAACAGGAGGCCAGTTTCTTAGGTGTTGTCCTTTGGGTTTTGTTGTGTTTTTTAACCCAGCACCATTAATAGAGAGGTTCTTGCTATGGCCAAATCTGGTATTTACTATGATACATTTTTCCTATTGTTCACCTAACCTTTTGTCTGTCAGCACACTTACTGAGGGTGTCCATGGTGTCCTACCCAGCAGGCACTGCCTGCGCACAGAGGCTTGCAGAATAGGACTGCCCTAGGCTTTTCTTCCTTTCGCCACGCAGTCTCCCCTGGTTCTGGAGCAGTCTTTGGGGAGGGGAGCGTCAATGACCTGGCGTCCTCCCGGGGTTGCTTTGGTTAAGGGACCTGTACTGTCTTGCAACACACTGTCTCGTTATTGCTGATTCTGTGGCACAGAAAACATTTTTATTTTTATCCCTTGTTATTGTTTCCCTTCAAGAGCAGTTTTACTATTGTTTATCTTCCTAATTCTACCATAAGAAAAGGAGCCCTGGTGGTGGAGTGGTTTACATGTTGGGCTGCTAACCGTGAGGTTAGCCGTTCGAAACCGCTATCCGCTCCGTGGGAGGAAGGTACGGCTTTTTACACTCGTGAAGAGCCACAGTCTCAGAAACCCACATGGGGGCAGTTCCACCCTGTCCTAGAGGGTTGTCACCAGTCGGAATTGACTTGATAGCAATGAGTTGGGGGGGTTTTGTTTGGTTTGGGGGTTGTGTTTTGTTGATTTGGTGGGGGGGGGGCTCATAGGAAAAGTCTACTCTTTCTGTAGTTTATATTACTCTCTAATTTCATACCAAGTCCTTGATAAATAGAAGTATCATGCTTACATAAATGGTGAACATTCACGCTCCATCAGCATGGCAGACAGCAGCAGTGCTTAGTAATGAACAAGGAAGATGCATTTCGACAGCAGCTTTGGCTTTAGAGACCAACTTCAGACTTAGCCGGCAGTTGGCAACACTATTCAGACAGTTCACATTTGTGGTGGGATCTCAGTAACTCAGGGCGGAGACCCATACTAATCTTCCAAAATAAATTTGCGAAATAGCGCAGTTGTTGGAAATAGGATTGCCTCGGGCTTCTCTCATTTTATCTTGTGTATTTGGAAACATTCTGAGAAAATTTGGACAGTCTCAGCCAGACCTGCCCATTGATTTTCCAAACTTGTGACATGCTTGTGAGCCAATTTCACGGCAGCTTCTAAAGTAGAGGTAGCTGCTCTTCCTCCTAATAAAGAGAAAGGACTGTCAATCCCACTTCCCGTCTCCCCTTCCCCAACCCCAGGAAGTTTATTATTTTATCCCAGGACCTCAAACGGGGTATCGAACTTTGGCCAGCTTGATTTCTGTGTTAGATAACTTCTCAGCTTGGTTTGTAATGGGGTACGCATTTGCTGCCTCTGAGTCTCTCCCTGTCCCCCTGGGTCCCCCTCATTAAGGAGTATTTCGATTAGGGTGGGAATCCCACGCCTGTTGTGCTGTTTTCCTTCGTCACCTGTGTTTCTCTCACCACCTGTCTGCAGGGGCAGATTACCTAACAAAGTAAGCACGGGTTTACTTGTGCTTAGTTACTGGTCTGTGGTGAACAGTTTCATGTGTTCTTTGCCACATCAGTCCGACACTGAGGCCATCCGTATGTGTCCAGATTGTGTCAGATGCTGGCGAATCCTCGAAGACTGTCGGGAAAATGCTTGGACATTGACTGTCGTAATGTAAAGCCACAATTTAAAGTCTTAACATAGGAAGAGAAAATAACTTAAATAAAGTCCTTTTTGTAATTGACAATTGAGGTCCGCCCCCTTTCTTGCTTGCTTTGAGAAATCATGTGTTTAGACCTTCTGTGTGTCTTTGCGGCCCTTCGGCTGTCCGGAAGGCTCCTGTGCCCGGCAGGAAATGGGCCACGGAGTGTCTACTGTGCATTCCTTCACTTTGTGTTTCTGCAGTTGTGACTCATTCTTTCCTTCCTTATTCACGGGGCTGTGTCTCCCTAAGGTGCCCCTGGAGTTTCATTGGGGTGATTCGTGCCGTGATAGGCAGTCTGGAGTGCAGTTCCTGCGCCTGTGCCAGATCAGGTTGCACAAGGGCTGTCCAGCCAGCTTTCAGTAAATACTTCTACAGTAATGACTGCAGTTACCTAAAAGAAGCAGCAGGGTCCTCACAGCTGGGAGGCCTCCCCTAATTAACCATCTTCATTCACTGAAAGCCCAGGGAAGCTCCCTACAAGAAAGCTTTGTGTACCACCGATGCTTAAGGAAACGTGTGAGCAGTAACTCAGTTACTGCCACCTTCCATCTTTGGTCACCTTCCACATCTGTCTGTAGTTATTTGTGACCCACTTAATTTACTGATGGTCAGCTCTTTGGAGACCAATGAGTACAGAGATGAGCGTTTCAGAAGGCAAAGAGAAACCATGTGTAGTGTCAGGAATTTAGAAGGGATTGTATGAGCGTTTTGAAGAACTTTGGAGAGAAGAGCTGGGAAGTGCCGATAGATTAGGGACGTGTTTTCAGTGTACTTTGCTGGTAAAAAGGCTACAGACCAGCCATCCTCTACTATCCCATCGTCAGTCCTTTCATTGACAAAGGTGGTTGACATAAACCTTAATGTTTACTAAAGTTATCCAGCTGTTTGCTATTGGTGGCTCACAAAGTG